TTTTTTTTTTTTTTTTTTTTTTTTTTTTTTTTAAGATTTTATTTGAGTGAGAGAGAAACATGAGTCAGGCGGAGGGGCAGAGGGAAAAGCAGAATTCCCGGATGCAGGGCTCAATCCCAGGAACCCAGGATCAGGACCCTGAGATCCTGACCCAAGCCAAAGGCAGACACTCGACCAACTGAGGCACCCAGGTGCCCGTCTCTCTTCTATTTCTTAAATCAGATGCAGAGTCCCTGCAGCAGCCTGTCCGGATCCACTTGTGTTGCCGCCCCTGTGTTCACCAAGGTAACCTATCCCTACTGCATGGTAGAGTTAGGAATTTATAGATAAATTATGGGTGTCATCAAAGGGGTGAGAAGGAAAAGAGGAAACTAAAAAGAACCTCAGGAATTATTATTTTATTCCTTCCCCGAGATAAGTAGCCCTGGGCATCAGGCCACAAAGGCTGGGCTGATGGTCACTACGTCTCACCTGATAGAAGGACCTCAGATACTACCTCTCAGCCAAGTTATAACCTAAAATGTAATTCCAGATTCTAGAGGACTCTAGCTGAAAATGGGAGAGAAGGGAAATTGGGGTTTAGTGGGGATAGTTACCACAAATGCCACCCATCCATCAATGCACTGTGAGACCAAACCTCCTATTTTTATACTTTTTATGTAACATTACAACTCTTCACTTTTTAAAGAAAGTTTTCAGATTATTTATCTGAAATGAGCCTCAAACCCTCAAAAAAGGCTGAATATTTGCTAGCCCTATTTCACAGATAAAGTACCTGAGTTCCACAGAGGTTAAGAGTTTCCAAGCTCCTACGATCAACTTCAATCAGTTAGTGGCAGAGTTGAGATTCTGGTCCAAGTCCTCTAAGTTCTGATTCAGAATCCTTAACAAATAATGCTGCCCATACTACTGACTGACAATAAAGATTAAACCTGTGACTCTACATGTACTTAATGAAATCCTATAACAAAGATAAGAGTTTTCAACTACTCTGGTTCCTATTTTGAACCTGGCTCTTGGTGACGTGAGCAACAACTTTCTCTATTAAAGTAAGATAAAAATAACTTACACATGACTGTAAAGCACACTACAAAGCACAAAAGAATCCCAGCAACTCCTCGTTTTGACTAAAGTACGGTCAGTTGTCAGTAATTATAGGGAAAAGCATACTTACTACCATTGGCATCCCAAATCATTGCATATGATGAAAGTTTCTTCCATTCTGTGAATTCTGTTTTTGTTCAGCATCTTCAAGACATTTCGACAACCAGCGGTCAGTTTGTTGCATTTGAATGCCGAGTCCAGGCAACAACCACAGTTCAAATTCACTGGTACAGAGAAAAAGAGCAGATAGCAGACTCTGAGGACTTCCAGATTCTGAGGAGAAGTATTGTGATAAGCTTTTCGATTTGCTTTTTATTTCAATTAACCTTGGAAATCTAATTCATGTTTCAAAGTTTAATAGCTGACTCGTTACAGGCTCAGAAATTTCTACTGTTAAACAATTTTGAGTTCAGATCCAAATGATTCCTCGACACAAACAAAAAAGAAAAGATAGCTGTTTTTCTCTGATGAAACAATAGTTTTAATAGCTGTGAAAAGACTGGTTTGTTTTCATGAATTATCTTACTAATGAGTTCTTGGCATACAAACAAGAAAAAAAATGTGAAAATAAACTTTTTTTTAAAGACTAAGACAAATTAATAATGATACACAGCTTTCTAAATACTTTATTACTTGTTTCCTACCAAATAATAAACTCAGGGAAGAGTAACAAGTACGATGATCTACTTCACACTCATCACTGAGTTTATAAGCAACCTTTCATTTAATCCTCACATCAATTGTTTTGAAGTGTGCATTGTTAATTCCACTTTATAAGAAAACTGAAATCAGAAATATTAAATGCCTTGCCCAAGGTTACAAAGCTAATAAATGCTGCAGGCAGGGTCCAAACCCAAAATAGTTTTTGCTCCAAGCAAAAAAAAATAGATTCATTTAAATACCAATGCAGCACAAAAGAACCTTTGCACACCACATCCAGGAAGAAAAACCTTTATTACACAGTGTGGCGTTAGCATAGAGAAGAAATTTTAAATCATCTATAGCCACACCACCCAAACTATTACCCTTTTGTGTGTTTTTCTACACTAATACTATAGTATGTTTATAATGTAATATTCAACTTTATTTTAATTAGAGAGACTTAAAGAAAAAGATTTTCTTGGGAGGAAGAGAGCACCGCAGGGCCTGGGGTTCGGTAATGGTTCCCATCCAGAGAACAGATACTTTCTTCATGTTAGAGATGAAGAAATAAGGACCAGAGAAGAGTTTTCACAAAACCACAGGGCAATTCAGGGCTAACCAGGACAAAATACAGTTCTTCTAGCACCCTGCCGAGTGTTTATTCCATCATGTATCTTTTCCCAGTTTGTACAGAGTTTATAGTTTGTGACTCCACATTACAGTCAAGGTTGTACGTGCTTTATTTATTCAGGTTATTTATCATATACACATGGCCCCTCCTCCCAACTAAATTAACCATCATCTTTTCAATTCTCTATTCCCTTGTTTATCTTTCAGAGGCTTCTTTATCATCCATTCCTGGTAAGCACAATTTTTCAACATCTTTTTCTTTTTCTTTTTTTAAGATTTTATTTACTTATTTGAGAGAGAGAGAGCTCAAGCAGGGGGCGGGGAAAGGGAGAAGCAGACTCCCCAGTGAGCAGGGAGCCTGAAGCAGGGCTCGATCCCAAGACCCTGAGACCATGACTTGCACCAAAGGCAGTTGCGTAACCGACTGAGTCACCCGGGCGCCCCCAATTTTTCAATATCTTGACAATAAATGATTAAATCAAGATTACCATCAGAAGACTTTGCCTCCTAAATCACTTTTGCCATTATGAGCAGTTCTGAGGCTACCCTATAACAACTCTTGAGCTGACAGAACCAAAGCAGAAAGGTAACTGGGATTTGTCAGTGTATTTATTCACCTATTCACTCACTCATCATAGTACAGACAATAGCCACGTTCCATTCTGGGCACTGAGGCCGTCCCTGCATTCAAAGAGCACGTATCCATCCTCTCATCTGTGACTTGTGAGCTCTACAGTGAGGCAGTAAGGAGGTGTGATGACATCAAACATCCAAGTTGTTGACCGTCCAAGAAGTAGGCATAGTGCCTATCACAATGTGGCTGTCACCGCACTATTGAACTATCCTGGTAATGATAACTTTTAGGTCAGCTCAGAAATCATTACAGGGCCTTGATGCTAAGCACTAAAGCTACAGAAATCTAGAAGTCAAGGAATAAAGTGTAACCCTTGCTTTCAAGGAACTCACAGTAAAGAGATGTGTCACAGAGACAGGTGGTAGGGACTCTTTTGGGATTATTTTAGGCTGCATTTTTTACTTATCTTCAGGAGCCCACTTAAAGGCAAAAAGTCTAACCAGATGGATTTTTTTAAAATCCCAGAAATACTCTTTTTATTCCTAGTATCTATTTTCCCTGACATCCACCCACACTATTTGTTAATTTGGGGTCTCCCAAAACTCTGATCAAGTTGAATCTCTTGCCTTTCCAGAGGAAGTCTGCACCTTGAATATCACAGAAGCATTTCCTGAAGACTCTGGGGAATTCAAGTGCATTGCAGAAAATGAAGCTGGGACTGCAGTCTCCACAGCAAGACTCTTTGTTTCCCCAGGTAATTCTTTTCAGGATCTCCCTGCTCCAATTCAGCCGAGAGGAGGAGGAAGATTCTGTTTCTATCTGAGGTGGTAAATAATTATATTTTTCAGGAGGAAAAGAAGTAGAGAAATCAGAGAGTTCTTCAAAGTCACCCATGAGTAAACTTGCTCCAAAACTGGCCTCTTTTCCCTGGAGCAGTGATAGCCACACAAAGGACAAAAAACCAGATGATACTCCAATGAACATTATTTCAACTATTCCTGAACCAGGCCGTCAGAGTGAACATGAGATCCAGGTTCCAAAGGAGGATTTCTCCAGTGAAAATTCCTCTGAGCTACAACCACAATGGTAAGGGCAGACAGACTTAACACTTGATCATTCAACAAATATTCTTGGTTGGTCCTGCATACAGAACAGTGAACATGACAAAGTTCCTGCCCTTAGGGAGCTTGCGTTATTAGGTGAGTCACTTAATTCTGTCATTTCTCCCTTGCCCTCCATCATATCTTTGACCAGAGCTGAAACAGTAAACCAAGTGCTTAGATCCACATCTAAAGGTTTGTTATAGAGACTTCTTGAAAAAAAAAAAAAATCAACAAGGTTGAAACAGCACAAGATTTTGAAGAAGTAGAATCTGTTCCACAAAAGAATTCAGGGTTTTATTTCAATATAAGTACAAAAAAATTTTTTGTGATACAGGTTTCTTCTTGTTGTCCTAGAATACAGACAGAATTATCCTTGCTTTTAGAAGGCAAGTGTATAAATAAAAAAGATAACTGATTAGGTGATTTTGCCAACCAGGCTATATTCAAAACAAAATCTGCCATCATTCCCAACCCCCAAACACGAACCTCAAACCAAAATAGTGACTGGAAAAACAACAACAACAACAACTAAAAACTGATACTTAAAAGTTATTTGAAATTTTTTGTTTTACTAGCATCTAAGAAGAGTCCACTAAATATTTTACCAACCTAAAGTTACCTTTACGTTAAATTTAGGTTAAATGCCTTTAACAAAACTTAATAAATGAACATTCTTGACTATTTTCTAGTATAACTAAATGTAGCCTCTGTTAATTACAAAATAAATGATATGGAAATCTCTTTTAAGAAGAGATTTCTTGAGTAGTATTTGGGCCTATCAAGTGAATAAACTTATTGTATTTAAGATGGAAGGAATCAAAGGTCACCTACATGAAGTTCCACATTCTGCAAATGACTGAAATTGTAGATGATTGACTGATACTGTTGAGGGCTGCTTCCTCATGCTTCTATGACCCTGGGATAGGTATTTCTCCGAGTGTTTCTTACAATGAAGACAGTGAAGAGTTTGAACTTGGATATTAAAAGACCTGGAATCACATATGTCAAGTACATAGTAGGAATTCATAATAGTGGCTATTACTTCACAGCACTGGGGTGTTTTTTTAGGATCAATGTATCTTCAATAACAGTCGATGACTATAATTTCTCAGTTGGTCTCCTTTAGCTTCTGGGATCTTTAGCTACCTGGATATAGCTACCCTTAGAAAGATTTCTCATGAGGTCAAAGAAGGGGTTTGTGGGACAAAAGATTGCAATTTATTCAACAAACATTTATTAAGCACATTCTATGTGTTTCTGTCAGCTTCTGTGGGAGACTTCCCTTCAGAAGACAGCCAATACAGATATCTAAAACTTTTCTCCATGAGTACCTATGTTTAGCAGTGAGACTTTAAGACTTAAGAAGGCACTGAATCAAAAAGGCGGGGGGGCATTGAATCTATAATACAATATCTTTCATAGGAGATTACCATCTTTTTCATTTAAAAAAATCACCTTTTAGAAAAATTATTCAGTGAAAGTTCCATAAAAGTTAACAAGTTTGTACTGAATGTCAACTATGAGCCACAGTGTCCCAGGGAAAGATAAAAAATAAACAGTCCCTCCCTCCCTCAGAATACATTTAACTTCGTTGAGGAGATACCTTATACCATGTAAGAGTCCATTACATGATTTCCTGTTTCATTTGAGTCTCTCTGCAAGCCTCTGTCTGATTAGGTTAGTAAAACAGATACTATCTTTGTTTTTCAGTTAATTATTAAAGCTCAGAGAGATTAAGCAACTTGTCTAATGTTACACAGCAAGTATATGGCAGAGTGGGCACTCACACTCAGGTCTCCAAAACAGGTAATAAGAAGGTTAATGTGTCTACAAAGTTGAAGATCATTAACCAAATTAATGTTATCATTTTTACTGTTTGACTCCAAACCTAGTGGAATGTCCATTACTACTTCTTGCTTGAAAAGAATGTAAGACCAAATCAAGCACTCAAAAGATTTCAAATTACAAGTGCTACAGTAGGACAGAACTTCAGTAATCACAGTGAATTATGCATAACCTGAAAATAAATGAAAATGTTCTCCACTCATTAGTTCTTCCATCCTCTATGTGGCATTTGCCTTCTCAGTTGATACAGCAGCAATTAGCTTCATCACATACATCTGACATCAGACTTTATAAAGACAAAGCTCACAGCACCATTTTACAACAAAATACATGGTTTACATTTTTAAAAAACAAGAGCTATAAATGAAGAAAGGATGAATGAGTGACAGCTAAATAGCCAAGCCACCCTTCCACTGATGATAAGACAAGA